CCCCCCTCCCCCTTCTTTCTCCCCCTCCCCCCTACCTCCCTGTAGCGTGGCCGAGCCCTGTATAGTCCGCGGGTACAGGGAGCTTTTGTTTCCTGTACCCGGCGGACTAACAGGAAGTGCACACTCAGTGTGCACTTCCTGTTAGTCCGGCCGGGTACAGGAGACAGCTGCTCTCTGTACCCGCGGACTATCAATGCTGCAGTGAGGGAGCTGACAGGAGCACTCCCTCCTGTCAGCCTCTCCTCAGGCTGCGCCCGGGCGGTGCGGTCCGCCCTCATGGACGCACCGCCCGGGCAAAGCTGCAGCCGCCTGAGGCTCTATACAGAGCGCTCGGGCGGCTGCAGCATGGGGGGGGCGGGGGGGCTGGTCATGGCACCCCCCACCCTGGTGGCACCCGGGGCGGACCGCCCCCCCCACCCCCCCTTAGTACGCCACTGCAATGTGAGCAAGATATTACTTTGCTGCAGAGGGATTTAGATAGACTGGGGGGACTGAGCACTCAAATGGCAGATGAAATTTAATGTTGAAAAATGCAAAGTTATGCACTTCAGCTTAAAGAATGCACAAGCAACATATACCCTTAATGGATGCAAATTCGGGATAACGCCACATGAAAAGGACTTGGGGATTGTTATAGACAACAAACTATTCAACAATATGCAATGTCAATCAGCAGTGGCTAAGGCCAGTAAGGTATTGTCATGCATGAAAAAGGGCATTCATTCTCTGGATGAGAATATCATTTTGCCTATTTATAAATCACTGGTAAGACCACATATTGAATATGCTGTGCAATTTTGGGCACCTGTTCTAAAGAAGGATATTATGGCACTAGAAAAAGTGCAGAGGCGGGCTACAAAATTAATAAAAGGAATGGAACATATCAGCAATCAGCTCTTTAGTTTAGAAAAATGTCACTTCAGAGGGGATATGATAACATTATACAAATATATTCAGTGCCAATACAAACCATTGTGTGGAAATCTATTCACAAACCGGACTGGAAGAAAGAAGATTTTGTCTAAGGCAAAGAAAAGGTTTTTTTTTACTGTAAGAACAACAAGGATGTGGAATTCTCTGCCTAAAGAAGTGGTTTTATCAGAGTCCATACAGATGTTCAAACAGCAATTAGATGCATACTTGCAAAAACCGAATATTCAAGGATATATCTTTTTCAATGTCGGGTAATAGCTGCTTGATCCAAGGATAAATCTGATTGCTATTCTGGGGTCAAGAAGTATTTTTTTTCCTAGTTTGTTGCAAAATTGGAAGTGCTTCAAACTGTTTTTCTGCCTTCTTTTGGTTCAACAGCAAAAAACAAATGTGGAAGACTGAACTTGATGGACTCAAGTCTCTTTTCAGCTATGTAACTATGTAACACTTCATGTTAGGGACACTTTATGTTACAACATGAATATTTTTATTTTGGCTTGCCTGTGGGATGTTTAACGCCTGTGCCTGAGGGTAGTTTAGCATTTCTCCCGTCAGAACAGGCCCGGACTGGCCATCGGGCACACCGGATCTCCCCTGCTGGTCTATGCAGTGCAGGCGCTATCTGAGCACCGGCCCCGCTGTTTTTCACAAAGGGCCGGTGGGGAGATCAAAGATCTCCCTCACCGGCCCACATGCTGTCAAATGCGGCCGCCGGCGGGTAGAGAGGGAGAGAGACAGCCAGCCTGGAGAGAGGACCCGGCGGAGGTCTAACTTGCAGCTCCGCCGGGTTCCTCTCGCGAGATCCGGAGCATTGCCATGGCAATGACCGGATCTCGCGAGAGTGAACTCTAGAGGCTAGAGTTCACTCACCACGAGGACCACCAGGGAACACCTCCACCCCGCCTCCCAGTCCCAGGTACCAGTCCCCCCTCCCAGGCTAAAGGTAAGAGGGGAGGAGGGACATAATGACTGTTATTTTATTGGTTTATTTACCCCCCCCCCACACTCACACAATCCATTCTAACATTTACAAAGCACTCTCACACACATCACACACAAAACTCTCACACATAGCACTCTCACACCCATCACACACAGCACTCTCAAACACAGGACTCTCACACCCATCACACACAGCATTCTCACACACAGCACTCTCACACCCATCACACACAGCACTCTCATACACAGCACTCTCACACACAGCACATTCAGCACTCTCACACACATCATAGACAGCACTCTCACACACAGCACACTCACACACAGCACTCTCACACACATCATACACATCACACACCGTACCCTCACACACCACACCCTCACACACAGCATCCATCACACACACATACTGCACCCTCACATACACACAGAACCCCCCCAACACACTGCACACTAGATCCCTATATACACTCTGAAACCGTTATAATCTCTCTCTCTCCCTCTCCCCCTCTCCCCCCTCCCTCCCTCTCCCTCCCTCTCTCTCACATAACCTTAAAGTTGGGACCCCTTACCTCATAAACACTCAAAACCATCAAATTAGGGCAATTTCCTTGCCCAGCATCCACTGCTTTCATCTCAGGAATATCTTTGACCCAAACACACCCATTAGGAAATTATGTGTTATTATGGAATTCACCTGTTCGGAAATACCATTGTACACATGTCCAGTAAAGGTCCGAAGTATTACCCATCGGAGCAATGCAGATGTAAGGATTTCCGAGAAATTGGAAAGCTTTTTGGGTTCTGTCTGATGTAAGTGCAATCACAAATGTCATGAGTCCATCACCCCTTAAGCATAGTCTAGTTCCTTCAAGCATCCAATCATAATAGCCTCAAACAACACTCAATCCCTTCTTCATAGCCTCCTATCAGCACCCCATCCATTCCCTTCATCATATTTGCACTCCCTCCTAGCACTCCTTCATTTTAGCCATATAATTATAGATTCTACCAACACCTAACTCTTAATCATTAATCTCCTTGTTCTCAATAATAATAGCTACTGCCAGCACTCCATATCTTCATCAGCTCTCCTTCTGTACTGGCATGCAATCACTTTCCCATAACCTCCCTCCCTAGTCAGCACTATATTACTATCAGTACCTATCCTATAAGGAGGCACTCTGAGCAATCCTCAGACAATCAGTGTAATCCAAATTTAGGCACAATAAATATTATTAATATGAAAGCAGAAGTTGTGGATCTTTTCATTAGCAATATGCCAAATGAGGGATTGGGCCATTGGTGCCTGAGGGATCCTCAGTTGGTGTTGAAAGGACACTCCAAGCGTAAAAAAACACCAGATCTTGCAGTGCATGATGAGGCTGAACAATATTTTTCATAGACAAACACTGGATTTAATATCTCTGTATGAGAGGCATTGGCTTGGTGGATCTGGTCCTCAATGCTTCTCTGTAAGAAGCATTGAATCTGAGGTGATTAGGACTAATTATGTCACTATGGGCAGCTGCAGAGAGGAGCCTGCTTCAGCACTGGACAACAGTATATATATATATATATATATATATATATATAATTTAACAAAGGGGGCTCGATAATCTACAATACAATGGAACACTGTAACAACACATATGTAAATTAATAAATAAAGAAGTGGTAACCAATATAGATAATAAACAGGGCAGCTACGTACAAGCAAGCGACTTAGAATATAGAGAGAATAATTACAAAATAGTATGTGCTCTCCAAAAATAGTAAATATAAGAAACAGAAGATGTTTGTCTAAGTAAAAAATGAATATACCTTTAATAGAAAACAGCAGCTAAATAATGAATAAACAACCAATTCCCCTAGATGTAGATAATACCTCTTAGGTGGGATATATAACACAAATAAGTAAACGATGTATCTAATTCTTGCAATAGTTCATGACATAAACTTCCCAGATGGGAAAAGAAACTGCAAACAGTTTCAAGTAATACAGCAGCATGTTGCAGCCCAACATGGAAAGTAATTGTGAACACAGAAGGGGTTGAGCAACTAAATGTTGCAAAACTCCGTGAAACCCCTTTCCCTCCTTACACGTAAATGGTACGTAACATGCAAAAAAAAAAAAACGATGTCAAATACTATATAATTACTCCTTTCTAAGAGAAAAACAAAGAAAATATACAAAAACAATAATAATGTAGGTAATAAAAAAACATACAAAATATATAATCAATATGTGCCGAACAAAACAAAAAATCAATGTTCAAAATAATCTGTCCACTGATACAACAACTACGAAGGTACCTGACCTCGGGGGGCCCAAAAAAAGGAGGTAGTGATCGAAATGATTAAAAAATAAGAACTGCAGCTCTGGAATCACAGCGCGGTTGTAAACTGTGTGACTTGTAGATAGGTTGTTTCTCATGTCGAATCTCAATATGAGTGATCATACAGGTAGTGAACCGTGAAGACTATGATGCGGTTGGAAACTTCACAAAAGACCACGGCTTCTTGATAGATGTCGGCACGCCAAACAATGAATACAAATAGTGGTAAAAAGAAAGGCAATGCGTCTACGTGTTTCATCATGATAGCAGGACTTTCTCAAGACAATGTGCAGATGGAAGCTGCTGCCTTGAAAACCCTCAGAATCAGGTGGTAGAAAACTCCTGGAAAACCTGGTATGAACCAAATGGGTTATCGAGAAAGACCGATATTATCAACCACCTAATATCTTAAAGGGATTAACCCTTACCACAACAAAAATTAAAAGAAGAAAAACTTTATATTCAGAAGATATTACAGGGAGTGCAGAATTATTAGGCAAATGAGTATTTTGACCACATCATCCTCTTTATGCATGTTGTCTTACTCCAAGCTGTATAGGCTCGAAAACCTACTACCAATTAAGCATATTAGGTGATGTGCATCTCTGTAATGAGAAGGGTTGTGGTCTAATGACATCAACACCCTATATCAGGTGTGCATAATTATTAGGCAACTTCCTTTCCTTTGGCAAAATGGGTCAAAAGAAGGACTTGACAGGCTCAGAAAAGTCAAAATAGTGAGATATCTTGCAGAGGGATGCAGCACTCTTAAAATTGCAAAGCTTCTGAAGCGTGATCATCGAACAATCAAGCGTTTCATTCAAAATAGTCAACAGGGTCGCAAGAAGCGTGTGGAAAAACCAAGGCGCAAAATAACTGCCCATGAACTGAGAAAAGTCAAGCGTGCAGCTGCCGCGATGCCACTTGCCACCAGTTTGGCCATATTTCAGAGCTGCAACATCACTGGAGTGCCCAAAAGCACAAGGTGTACAATACTCAGAGACATGGCCAAGGTAAGAAAGGCTGAAAGACGACCACCACTGAACAAGACACACAAGCTGAAACGTCAAGACTGGGCCAAGAAATATCTCAAGACTGATTTTCTAAGGTTTTATGGACTGATGAAATGAGAGTGAGTCTTGATGGGCCAGATGGATGGGCCCGTGGCTGGATTGGTAAGGGCAGAGAGCTCCAGTCCGACTCAGACGCCAGCAAGGTGGAGGTGGAGTACTGGTTTGGGCTGGTATCATCAAAGATGAGCTTGTGGGGCCTTTTTGGGTTGAGGATGGAGTCAAGCTCAACTCCCAGTCCTACTGCCAGTTCCTGGAAGACACCTTCTTCAAGCAGTGGTACAGGAAGAAGTCTGCATCCTTCAAGAAAAACATGATTTTCATGCAGGACAATGCTCCATCACACGCGTCCAAGTACTCCACAGCGTGGCTGGCAAGAAAGGGTATAAAAGAAGAAAATCTAATGACATGGCCTCCTTGTTCACCTGATCTGAACCCCATTGAGAACCTGTGGTCCATCATCAAATGTGAGATTTACAAGGAGGGAAAACAGTACACCTCTCTGAACAGTGTCTGAGAGGCTGTGGTTGCTGCTGCACGCAATGTTGATGGTGAACAGATCAAAACACTGACAGAATCCATGGATGGCAGGCTTTTGAGTGTCCTTGCAAAGAAAGGTGGCTATATTGGTCACTGACTTGTTTTTGTTTTGTTTTTGAATGTCAGAAATGTATATTTGTGAATGTTGAGATGTTATATTGGTTTCACTGGTAATAATAAATAATTGAAATGGGTATATATTTGTTTTTTGTTAAGTTGCCTAATAATTATGCACAGTAATAGTCACCTGCACACACAGATATCCCCCTAACATAGCTAAAACTAAAAACAAACTAAAAACT